AGGCTACCCCAGAGACTGTCTCTGTCCCCCCAAAGAAGGATTCAGCTGGTGGGAGACACAAGACACTGTGTTGGCACATGCTCCTGATGCCACCCCAAAGGCCACCTCCCCATCTTCCCGTGCACCTGTCATGCCCTTCAAGGAAGGCAGGCCTTGGCCTGAGAGTGAATCATGACTGGACTAAGCCAGTCAAAGTGGCCTCACATCTCTTGCCAAGATTGAGTGAGGTTTGGGCATGTGGCCTCACTTCTGGCCAAACAGAACTGATCTGGTGTCTGGATGTCGCCTACTTGTAACAGCAGGAACGGCTGCAGCTGTTTTGGAATCTGGAGGCACACTACCTTAGAAGGGCAAGCCAGGAGGCCGAGACAGAGCAGGGGAAGGTCCTTAAAAATCACAATAAGGTGCTAGAAGAACCTTGGGTCCGCTGATGCTTCTTCCAGAGGTCTCAAAATGAGAGCTAATATAGGCTGGGACTATTCATAGCACTTGCAGATGTTGTTCTGATGCCTAAAGCCAACTGATACAACCAGTAGTCCCCTCTTCAGCCTCTAGTCTCACGCCTGTGGATCTCTTCTTCTAGCAGATACATGCTTGGACTTGTAAACTCGTCCCAAACCGCAAACTTGCAGAGGTCAAGCCTATCAGTCACTCTCTCTCCTGTATGAAGCACTTTACTCAATTGTCTTCCTTCCCAGACCAACCTGCCATCAGTCATAGGATAAGAGAGGTCAGAGAGACATTAGTGGGCAGCGGGAGAGAAGCAGGGGGCCCGTTGTACCTGGAGTGGCATGAAAGAAAGCACCTGCAGGTGAAGCAGAAAAGGAGCGAAGGCAGCCCTGATGCCCCTGCAAAAATCACTCTTCTCCTGCCAAGCACACCTAAGGGGTTACAGTTGTCATTTCTGAAACCAAGACACCGTCTTGAGTGTGCACTCAAGGAAAAAAAACAACAGAAACTTCATTTCAAATATCCAGTAATATGAGCTTTCCAACTGAGTTCTTAGTTTTAGAGCAGAGAGGGGTGACCAGACAGTGGCAAGATCAAGTCAGCCAGATGGGACAAGAGACCACGCCCAAGGAGAGGGCGGTGCCACCAGTATGTCCTTCATGCCAATGGTCCATAGAGCTGGTGACCTCGGGTCTCCTTGCCAGCTTCTCCCCTCAAAGAGGTGGGTGTGGGTCTCTGACCTGCCCTGTGGTCACAGCCCTCACGCTCTCAGTCACCAGGAAGGAGCCACGTGTCCTCTGCACACGGCCGCTAAGCTGTACTTCCCCAAAGCAGCATCTGAATGATGCTTATCTCGGGGAGGAAAACGCCAGATCGCTGTCACTGCTATTGCTGCAACTGTCCTACAGCCGCCACCACTTCGGGAGCCAGCGAGGGGCTGAGCAGAGAATGGGCACCAGCTGCCCTCCCCACCCAAGAGGAGTCTGCTGCCAGGCAGAGGCAGGCCCCCACCTGACCCAGGAGGGTTGCTGGGTCTCAGGACACCCAGAGACTGCTGAGACCTCAGTTCACTCCCAGCTATGGCTGCTCCACAGGCACCAACAGGCGCGCCAGAAAACAGGTTTCCCTGTGGTGCCCAGGGATACTCAGACCCTAATCCCGGTCAGCTGCCTTTCCCGGGCATGCAGCAGCTCTTCCAAACCTTCACCCCCGCCTGGAGCCTCCAGTGCCACCTCCTACCCCTCATTCTCAGCAGATGGTCTTGCCTCCCACTTCAGAGAAAAAATAGAGGCTATCAGGCTGGAACAACTCCGCTGCCCACTTTCCCTCCCCCTCCCCCCCCAGCCCCCACACACTCATCTGTGCCCAGCCTCGCCACCTTCCTCTGATCTCAAAGTAAGAGCTGATCAAAGACTAACGTGTTCACTTGTGTCCTCGGAGGCGCAACCCCGTGAGTCTCCTGGACCTGATCTAGCAGTTACTTCTCTCTCCTGAATGCCCCTAGCCCGCTGCTTTTCCCCCTCTCCAAGCCTGCCCACCCCCTCCCAGCCTCAATCCTGTGCTCTGCTCTAACCGCCCTCCTCACTCTCCACCACTGTCTGAGGTGAACCATGAAAAGAGTATTCTAGGTAACTGGCCCCAGTTCTGGGGTCTCCGTTCTCTTCCACCCACCCCACTCTCACCGCTCTTCCAAGAACATGCCAAAGCCAAAGGCCCCTTTTCAGAACTTCACAAATCTGATCTACAGTCATTCAACAACATTGCGTGACCCTGACAGAGTCTATTTCCCCAAGACAGCAACAATGTCTCCCATTCTAAGTCTTCTAGAACCATGCCACTAGGGGCTGCCATCTCAGGCGCCATCAACAGGGCCCAGAAGTACACCGCTGGGGTGTACTCCCAGGCCGCTCCTCCCAGGATGCTCCTCCTAGCAGCCAGCCGCCACGATGAGGAAGTGCAGGCCCAGAGATGCTGTCCAGGAGGGGGACGCAGGCCTGGGCCACAGCCGCTTAAGTCCCAGCCAACAGCCATGGACTCGCCTGACACACGAGTGAGCGCCTGGAAGCAGGGTGTCCAGTCCGGCAAGCCACCCCAGCTGGCCCTCCTAACACAGGGGACCCTCCGTGCTGCGCCCCCCAGACTGCAGGTCCATGAGCAAAACACACAACCATGCTGACATGACTCCACTGTGCTTGAGGTGGCTCATGCAGCTCAGACAGCGCCCAGGATGCTCTGCGTGACAGTTTTCAGGGGATACAGCAGCATCCTGTCGTGGTTCTCCTCCAACGGGCCTCCTCAGTTCCCTCCAGGACCTCGCCCCCCAAAACACACTCCCAGGTGCCAGTGCGGATGCCCCTCACAGGGCTTTCCTGGCATGCACACGCCTGGGTCACGCACGTGTCTTTTCTCCCTCTCTCCCCTGTTCTCTCTGTCTGGGACCTTTGCTGATTCTCTCAACACTCCCCCAGACTGAGTTATCACCCGTCTCCTTGCTGACACACCCGAAATCCGTATGTCCAGCCTGAACTGCAGAGGGGTCCTGGCCCGAAAGTCTGCCTGCAATCTCTTCCTCCCCCTGGCTGCTCCACTGTCCATTTCACTTTGCTCTGACCTACATCCCAACCTCTTTGCTCTCAGAAGAAACTACATTTCCCAGGCTCCCTTGCAAATAGGCTAGTAGGTTAACCAATGGGCAATGCTCGGGGATACCAGGATACTGGGGGACAGGAGTTAAAAATCTGCTGCTCCAGCAACTCCCATGGCCCAGGTGACGGGCCCAACACCTGCAAACCAGCTCCCAAGGGCCAGTCCCGGTGGCGTGGCTTCCACCACGAGTTCCTAGCTCCCAAGCCCCAAAGAGCTGCATCTTTTCTTGGTCCCTCCACCTGGAGGGTGGCAGTAGCTTCCTGCTTCCTCTTGGGAACTGCCTCACCATCCCACCTGGCTCTCAGTAATCCCATCTCCCGTGGACCCCATTTTGTTCTAAATTCCTCTGAAATACCTACAGTGACTCTTTTTTGACCAGCTGCTTCCTGACTGATAGACCTGGTTAGAGGCACCCAGGCTGAATCATTTCATCCAGGAACCAGAGACCTGCTTTCATCTCCTCCTCCTCCTCAGTCCTCCAGCAGTTGCTGGAGCCAGGTAAAGCAGGTCACCAAGTCCTGATGAGTCCACCCCGAGCCCGTCCCTCCCCTCCGCTCCAGTTACGCCGCCTTGGTTCACGGCATGTCTCTCTCAGACCAGTGCAGCGTCCCTGCAATTAGTCTCCCTGGCTACCATCTCTGCCTTCCGATACATCCTCCAGACTGCCAACAGATTTTTATTTCTAATGCACATCTGATCATGACATTCCCCTGATTAAAATTCTTAAATGGTTCCCCACTGACTACAGGAAAAAATCAAATGCTCAGTCCACAGTAAATACGCACTTGCTATGTATATGCCATTCTAGTCTTCCCTGGAAGGCAAGACACCCTCCGCCCCCGTGTGTCCTGCCTACCTGCCCTGCCTCCCACCCCAGCTCACACCACCTGAGCTAGCTGAAGTCCTCCCAGCACACCTGGATCCTCTAAGACCTGGGTCCTTTGCACAGGCCCAGCGCCCCAGCCCTGCCTGCTGTCCCTCGGACTCTTCAAGTGTCCACTCAAACTCCAGCTCCTGAGTGAAGCCCAATAATGACCTATCGGCCCCGCACAGCACCACAGAGTATGAGCCAAGCCCCCACTGGCCGCTCACGGCCCATTGTGGGTCTGCGTGCAGACCTGTCTCTTCCACGATACAGGCGCTGCCTGAGATCACGCTCACCACTCCCCCAAACCCAGCTCCCACCAGGGGCTGGAGCCCTTGCCCCCGGCCCAACCCCATGAGTGTCATGCAGTTTCTTGAAAGTGAGTGAAAAGAATAAACTCCGAGTCCAAAGTGAGGAAAGTCCGAAGAGGAAAAGGAGGAAAGGGGCATGCTGGGCTGACCTGTGAGGGGTGCTGGCTCCCCTGTGCTGGGACTTGGGGGGGAGCGGGTACTGAGCCCATGCTGCTCCCCTGTCTCCAATGTTCCAGACACGGAGCGAGAAAAGGGCCACTCCCCCCAGAGCTTTCCCCAGGGCCATTGTGGGCAAGCAAGTTCGTTCATGCAAAACAAGTAGCAGGCAAGCAAACAATATGCAGAAGCATTTCTCTGTGATTGGCTTGTCTGTCGTTTTCACATCCCTTGGTTGACCACATGCTGCCTTTTGCTATTTGTTAACAAATCAATATGCAACTTGTTCTATGTCCCAAAAAAACACCTTTGGTTGGCCTCGTTTCAACAAGACTTGAGGTCCCCTTGACCCCAGCTGCTGGTCAGCATGTGCCAAGTCAGTCCCCAGGAGCAAACGAGAGAAGTGCTGGACCCAGGTGACCTGTGGGCATGGCACCGCGAGACACCTCCCTTGCCCTGGTCCTCTCCCGCCGCTGCTCACGCCACACGCCACCCACTGCCACAAACCAGCTTTGGGGGACTGTCTGGATCCCAGGGAATACAAAATGAAGGAGAGAGGGGAAGGCTCTCACCTCCATCAGAAGAATGTCCTTGGAGCTCTGAGCCTGCACCTTTGGGTGCTGGACCTTCACAGCCACTGTGCGCCCATCATGCAGCACCGCCTTGTGGACCTGGGCAAGGGAGGCAGCCCCCAGAGGGGTGTCATCGAAGCTCACAAACAAATCGTGGATCTGTCAAGAATAGAGAGAGGACAGGGCTGCTGAGAAGACACTGAAATTCCTTGAGATGGGCCAGAGGATGGGCCAGAGCCAGCCAGGCCTGACGGCCCCACGGAGACTTGCTGCTCTGGGTGGCGTGTACTGGCCAGTGCTGGCCTGCGGGGCTCGAGAGTCACACTAGGAGCGTGGGGGGCTTGGCCAGCACCCAAGTGTGGAGACCTTGCTTGCATACATGAGCGCACAAGCCCCTCTGTGCAGGGCCAAGAGCACTGCCCAGAATGTTCGGAACTACACTTCACCCCTTTCAATTATCCACCAGTGTGTATCTGGGAGTTTCACCTGTGGGTGATCGAAAGTTAACAGAACCCGAGTCCCAGGCAGCACAAGGGATCAGATGTTCCAGTTCGATCGCCTGGGATGCTCAGAGAACATGGGGCTGGAAGCTCCACCCCCAGCACCCACCTTTTGTTCCCTCCAGAAGTCCCCAAGTCCATTCTCAGCCACCCAGGAGGGGCCCTAGGGATGCCGGCCAGAGCCTTGCATTTGGTCCTCCCACCTGCAGCGCCCCCCAAAGGTGACCTCGGGCAGACACCCAGTCCTCTCTGTGCCTTCCTCCTCCGTGAAATGGAAAGGATGCCTCTTCCTCTTCGTTTTCTCTTCCCTTCTTCCTCCCTCTCCTCCCTCTTAGAAATGCCATGCCAATTATCCTGAAGGAAAAATTCTTTAGAACTTGAGTGGTCACACCTACATAGTCCAGATATATTCTACCAGATGGGAAGGAGGTCCCCAAAAGCCTCTTGCAGGATTGGCCAAGGCTAAAATTCTCCCCCTCCATTCCTTAAAGCCCCTGAATAGCCTCACAGTTCTAGGAGGTCCAGACATTCACACAACACACACACACACACACGTGCACGCACATGTCTAACCAATCCCATGCCTGTCCCTCTTCACATCCCCCCATGCAGAAGCCCATCCCACCGTGCCCCCCCTTTTCCCTTGCCCCCACTTCTGCAGCAGCCTCTCTGTCCTAGCCCTGAGCCCCTCTCCCCCACCTGGACTTGAGAAGTCACACGACCCACGGCCACCACCCCACCCCCTGTTGCTAGGCTGCACCGTCACTTTGTTAATCTCATCTCATAAATCACTCTCTCCAGCTCTGTCATCATTTTTGTGGTTTTTCACTAAACTCCATCTCATTTATCAACATTCTGCAGAGGCCAAAGGTCCAGGCAACGTGAGGCGGGCCTACCCTTCTCTGCCACGGGGGATGGGTACAGATTGGCTTCCCTGTCCTCCTTCCTCACTGGGTTATTTGTGCCCCCAAGAACACCCCAAAGAAGTATGAATTTCATCCCTTCTCCTCTCCCTCACTGGGACAGGGACCCACAATTAGGAAGAGGGCATAGCTCGAGCAACGTTCCCAGCCACTACATCATGAAGCCAACACTGAGTACCTCTGGAAACCCACAGACAGTTCCAGAAGGAGCACCAAAGAGGACATTTTCTGGAGCACAGCTGTGAACTCAGACCTTACCTCCCGGGCAGCTGAAATGGCCCAATTTTCCCCCTGCAAAGGGATGGAGTGGGTGGGGGCATCTGACCCCACACCAAGCCTCTGCTGGCTCCTGGGAACATTTGCTCATTCTCTGCAGACACGTGTCTCCAAGTCAGTACCGGTGCAGGGAGGTCAGAGTCCTTCCTCGCAAACAAGAGAGTGACGAGGCATCAAACAGGTCTGTGGGGCCAGGAGCATGGAGCGTGGAGGAGGAAAGAAAGGGTCAGGCAGCGAATTCCACTCTCCCAGTAAGAGGAAGCCTGCGCTGCTTGATCCTCAGGGATAGCCTCCCATGTCCCCCTGCCTGATGAGGGGGTGAGGGGGTCCTGAGACACCACCTAAGCCCAGCTGTCAACTCAGTGCCCTGAACAAGACCCGAAGGACATGCCCAAATCCCCAATTTGACCAGAGAAACAGAGGCATGGAAAGGAGAGGTACCACACCCCAGGCACAGGCAGATACCCCATTGTACCCCCACCTCTCCCATTCCCCCCCATAGCTATCCTCTACCTCTCTCAGAAAGTCAATCACACACTTACACCCTCCGTGCATACACACAAACACCCAACAATAATTGATTGCCAGTGGATGTTCCTAGCTGGCTTATAAAAAAGGTAATTAAAGATTGGTGCTGCAGCCTGTAATTAAATATGAATAAAGTATCTCTAAATGGAACCTTGATTCAAAGTGTTCAGTGGAAATACTTTATGCTGATAGATAGTAAGGACAAATAGACCCTGTCCCAAAAGCAGAATTATACCCCCATCCAGCTGACACAAATGCCACCCCCCTGCCAACAGGCCTGTACCCCCAGTCCTTTCAGCAGAAGGCATTAGCAAAAACAAAGGGCAGCATTTGCAGCAATTAGAGTCCAGCCGGGCCTTCCCTGCCTCCAGGCCCCCAGAAACCTGGCTCTCTTCTGAGCTTTCTTTCCGGGTTCCTTTTTTTCCTCTGGGTCTGGCAGTAAAATCAATTAAGTAAAACAACTACGTTTTAAAATGACTAGTTATGTGCTTTTTAATTACCGTCGGCACATGATTCAAATATATCGATGTCCTTGCTGAGAAAGGAAAAAATAATCAGGCAAAAGTTTCTTTGCATGGTATGTTTTTTTTTCTTTCTTTTTTTCAAGGTGTGTGTTTGTATATAAAGGTAAAGGGGGGTGTGTAATTGATTGTTTTTTTATGATCAGGAAAACATCTCAAGGGCAAGACATGGGTCATCCTCTGGGAGCTTTGAAGCCCAGAGGTTGGGGCTGGCTTCGGGTGAGGTCAAGGACTCTGGAAACCCCATGAAATCACACCCAGCACAGAACCAAGAGCAGATTCTCCAGAAAGTGAGCGGGACAGATTCCCACAATGGGCAATGTCTCCAAAGTGCCATGTGAGCAATCAAACACTGGCCCACATTATCTGGCCCCCAATAAAGAGACAGGAAGTCAGGAGCTTCTGGAAAAACCAAGGTGTGACTCCTGGGGCATTTTTGCTTGAGTGTCTTGGCCAGTCCCCCAAGAGCATGTGGTTTACCAGTCACAGGATGGGGGGTGTCCTCAGCTCTCAAGGTGGTCCAGTTTGAAATACTCCATTCTATTGTCCCTCGCTCACTCACAACAGACCTATTCTGGCATAGAAGCTGCATCACCATAAGACTATGCTCTAAAGCCCTGAGTTGTACAGCTGCAGAGGAAGATGGGAGCCTGCCTCTAGGCAGGCAGAGACGGGCCTGGATGCCAAGGCCAGGCAGTTGCCACTTAAGCTAGGGAGACTGCCCAGCTCACTCCAGGAAGGTTACCATGGCATCAGCAGCAAGCATCTGGCTCTCGAGTTCTTGAGATAGCCCTCTCCACCCCTGGTGGGGAGTCCACTTCCATCCACTGCAGCCTGATGGGGAGAGGGACAAGTTCAGGCTAACGGCATGGATGGAGTGAAACTCGCCCACCCCCAGCCCAAGGTGAAAGACAGCTCTCTCTAGCTAGGACCCTGCAAAACACTGACCACTGCCTTGACCAGAAAACCCACCATAACCTCTTCACCTTCCCCTCCTCAGACACCATTTCTGGAGTCCTGCCTCAGGCACCCCTGCATCTAACAACTGCCCTTCCAGCTGACACCCCATTTTGCTGCAATCCCTGCTGCATGCCTGGCTTTCACCCACCTCTCCAGGGTCATTCCTGTATCTCATAGTGACAGCAAACTGCTAGCACTTTTGCTTTCATTCCCTCTGGGAGGTTTTAAAATATGTTCATGAGCTTTTAAATACTCCTTCCTTTAAGAAGTGGCGTCTCCCCCCATCCTGACCCTAATGACTTGCTTCTAACAAACAGCATGGTGGCGGAAATAGAGTATGTGACTTCCGTGGGGGCCTGAAGAGTCATAGTGGCATATTCCTTGCCCTCTTGGATCACGTGCTCGGGAGGAAATGAGCGTCCATGTCACGGGATGTTCAAGCAGCCTGTGCACAGGTCCTGTGGTGAGGGATCAAGGCCTCTGACAAGAATGAGCCATCTTGGAAGCACATCCCTGCCCCACTTGGGTCTTCCGATGACTGTGGCCCCAGGAAACATCCTCACTGCCACCTCATGACAGGTTCTGATCCAGAACCATCCTGCAAGTCACTCAGAATTCCTGACCGACAGAAAGTATTAGCTATCAAATGCTTGTTATCTTAAGGCACTAAGTTTGGGGGTAATTGGTTACGCAACAATAGCAAGTAATACATCCCAAGCACACCCTGGCCAGGCGTCACTAATCAATCCCAGCTTTCACTCCCACTGAGCCCAGATGATGCCTCAAAAGCTTTCAGTGCTCCAGGCAGTCACTACCATTGCCCAGAGTAATATAGGAAATGAAATCAAGTGTCATTCCTTAGCCTAAGCCAATCAGTCAACAAATATCTACCACAGGCCCATCCCACGGCAGAATCCATGTCAGCTCATGGGCCAAAAAAACAGACATTGACTCTGGCCACAGAGAGAGCTCAGAGCAGCAGAATGTCCTCATGGAAGAGGGAGCAGCCTCTCTGAAAACACACTTGCCTCTTAGCATGGTCTGCTGGAGACAGGGCCTCCTACCCACCCCCAATCCTAAAGGGCCCCTGGATAAGAAGAGGGGACCTCTGAATCACTATGAGGATCAAAAGAGAGGACAACGCATCCTTACGTCTCTCTCCTTCCACACCCAACAGCCGCGGTCTCAAGGTGGGAGCACCTCACCCTCAGCTTCCCACACAAAGCAATTTATTATAATAAAAAATAATAATGACAATAACAGCTTAAGGACACACAGACCCTGGCTTCCATGGAATGTGTGTACTTTCTGAGGTTCTGAAAGATCAAGCTGTCAGTTCTTCCAGAGCCATTAGCCATTGCTGCTGCCAAGCTATGAAGCCAGAACAAAGGGTCAACGGCAGAATCTGAGGCCCTTCAGCACTCAGGTCAACCCAGAAATTACCAAAGTGT